AAAAATGAACATTAAAAAAATTTTAATAGCTCAACTTGTGTTTGGTTCACCAGCATTGGTCTTGGTTAGATTATCGCCAGTGCGTGCTTCTCGAGCTGTCGGGTTCGTGTTCGATCTGATTCGATGCGATCCGTTGTCTGATAAAACGGGGAGTAATCTACGACGTTAGTTCAAGTAAAGTAAAGTAAATCTTTAGGCACACAATAGGATGAATTTTCAACACTTTCCATAAGTTGCAGTGAGGAAAACATTAGGCATTTGAAAAAGGACAAATATACATTTATTAAATGAAAACAAAATGGATGTGATAGAATTCTAATGTTAAAGATGATTTTTCAAGTCAATAATAATATTCGCTCGGTTGATCAAGACACGAGCAAAATAAGGGATAATGCGGTTTTTGTATGTGTTGGTACGTGCATAGAGAATCCTAAATTTGGAACGCGTATTCGGATGAGACAACGATTTATTGAGACTGCATAACATAAGCAACATTATCTACTTGGGTGGCAAGATAAGAAGATGATTTGTTTTGTGACTAACGAAAACACACGTTTGTTCAGCACATGAGTTCAGAACACACGCAAAGGGATCCGTTGTCTAATAATAAAGAAAAGATGAAAGTAATAGTCTTAAGTGTAATTCATCGTTTGATAGATAACGATGATAGTGCATAAAGAGATACCTACGAATGAGGATTTTATACATTGTTTTCATTCATGTGTCAATAGAGATTTCTCATTTCCTTGTCGCCGAAAAATTGCAATCAGTATGCTCAATCGATAGTTCATTATCGGCACAACGATAAAAAAGCAATATGTATGATTCCGAATTCACATCTTATTGTATGATGAAAAATTATTAGAGTCAATAATTAGAATGTGAAATTAAAGTGATTCGAGTAATAGGGACTCATTGTGCGTCCATATGAATCAACTGAGGATAGCCATTCCTCAGTTATTTTGTGCTTTTCATTCGTCGTAAATATTCATGAGGACTAAAAGAAGTTTAGACTGAAAACATTGCTTTCGAGCTTGAACAAACCTCATCTTTTCATGCTGGTAGCATAGTCTTCAGTAGCCCATGAGACTCAGTTATAGTTCTTGTATATGGATAGATCATTTATCCACAGTCAAGGATTTGGAAACGTTATATGAAAAGTTTTTACTCTCACGAAACGAGTATTTTCACTACGTCCAAATTATTTTTTTTCACTGTTTTATGTGGACGTAATCAAAGAGGTTCTGGGATAT